GTATAAATAGATCATTCTTGTCAACTACCTATAAATTCGATCAATTCGTCAGGTAGATTTATAGACGGTACCGTTGAACATCGTGCATAAAAAAGTGAATAAAGGATATGAGCATTCACCTTCACCACACATTGGGGTATTACTACTCTTGATTTGAAGATTCAAATTTTTCAATATATTTCGAGTGGCCGATAGTAAATCTTCACTGCATATAGAGGTTAAAAAAAATTGGTGTACATTTTTGTACCTTGCATGACTGGCAAGCAGGTCAACATATTGATATATGAGTATTTATTTAATCGACGGTATATGATCTACTTACTTTTGTATTCTTGTATTCATTTATATCGTGCTCATAACAATGTGTGCTAGACATATATATATATATGTATATATATACGTGTACGTGCAGGATCACTTAATCAGTTGAAAATATTTATAATATCTGATTGTCGATCCTTCAGATTTGCACGAGACGCGTATGCCTGTATGTGTATCTTTGCTGCATATTGTCCAGGGCACCCTAAATGACACTTCATGTCTACATCTTAACGCATCTAATCATTTCGCAATATTGACGCACAATTGACCTTGTTTTTAAAAACTTATTTATTCGGCCTCGGCTCACTCGGAATTTTTTTATACAAAAAACAATTATTTAACCCCTCGTGAGATCGGAGATCGATAACAAGTGTACCGAGAGAGCAAATTAGCAAAAGCATTTTATATAATTTTTAAAATCATTTAAAGATGGCTGGAGATAAGTAGATTTCATTGATCAATTCTAACGGTTAAACTGGTTTTTTTTTAATGAAGACCAAGGCCACCGTCTCCTTTTAATCCTTCTTTGGCCTTTGCACTAGTCGATGGGTAAAAAAGACTATTGAAATTTTGTTTTATTTTAACTTTGATATTAATAAATATGTATTTACAGTTGCTGACTTTGCGAGTTTGCACTTTGCTGTTTATTTTATTTACAATAGATTTGTTGTGCGTTTGTGACAACTTGTGACGCCGGCGGTTATGATTAATGTGCTGTGTGGCTCAGCCTCTCAGGGCGCCTCAGACCTACAGGCTTCAGCCCTCAAAGTTAAAACTCAGGCGCAGGTAAATAAGCTACTGCGACCCCTTTGTATGAGGCTTTGTGTGTTTTTTTTACATAAAAAATGCCATAGGTGTTTCAACTTTCAACAAGAAGTGCACACAAAAGGACAAGGTCGACAACTCGACATATTGGTTTTTTGAAACAAACACATCATCTCAAAAACCGTACATAGAACAAAATAATAATAATAAAAAAGGATTTACAAAATAACCGATGTGTTTATAATTGTTAAATTTTTATTTTGTTTTTTTTAATTTCTGAAATATATCATACATAAATAGCTTCTAATATTTAAACAAATATATGTGCGCTCTTGTTGATATAAATATATTACATGGTCCCGTATTACACGGTAAATAAATGCACACTCAACAACGTTTTAGTGTAACTGAGACGCACTTTGCAGCATATCGGCGCACGTGTACAGACCAATACCACACATTGAATTCCGGATTTAACAGCCATAGTCGCACTTGCCATACTACACAACCACTCACAGACGACATGTACGCGCAATCCGGCACACCGTCGGCGGTGAAGCCTGCGAGCTACAGCCTGAGCAAATTCACCAAACAGATATGGAGCAGTCAACTGGCCACCTCAGCCAGGTACACTTCAAGCCATGAGTCAGTGGACGTGTGCGATTGTGTTTATTGTTTGTGTAGCGTGGGTAGTGGTGAACTATGGGGTGGGCTGTTTATACTATTCCTAAGTAGGGTGTTGTGCACTACATCCGCTTTACGACAGTACTAGAGGTAGATTGGGAAAGGTGGATAGTCAGCAACATTCAAAAACGCGAGCCATCATGAACTTTTGTCACCTGTGACCTAATTTTAAAACACACATTTGAATAAACATAGCGCTACAAGCACACAGAATGGTATAGGTATATATATATATATGTGTGTGTGTGTGTGTGCGTGTCTATATGTATGTACTAAAATGTATCTATATATGTCCATATAATATATATATAAATTTATATATGTATATATGTGTGTGAGAGAGAGAGAGAGAGAGTGTGTGTGTGTGTATGTGTATATATGTAGTAATATATTGCAC